TCAGGGCTCGTTCACACTGAATGTGTGTGTTCTCCGCAAACACACACTTGATGGACGTGTGTGACCGTTACGCTCGCGGCTCATGTGATGTACAGAGAGAGCGCCGCATGTCTCTGACGCAAGTGGAGTTCCACACCTTCAACATTTACAGCAGCGCCGCTCATCACTGTCAGTCCCACAGCAGTGACCAATCAGAAGAGCTCAGGGGCGGAGCAACCCCAGCAGGTGTCTGAGTGCAGGAGCCCAGTGTCTGCAGAGTAACGCTGACTGACTGATCCTGGACCAGAGATCTCAAAACTCTGACATCCAGAAGCTTTTCTAGACTGTTGTGTTCAGAAATAAGCTCAATAAATCCAGAAGCATTTCTAGACTAAACATGCAGTCTTGGTCATTCATTCATTTTGTTTTGGGCTTGGTCCCTTCATCAGTCCGGGTCGCCACTAATTCAGGCCTGTGTTCAGATATAATGAAGAGTTTCTCCTTAAAACAGCAGAATAATCTGACAATGAAGAAGAGAGATGATCGTGTGTCTAAAGCAAAACTGGATTATTTCAGCTCTCCCGTTTCTCAGATTGTTCTGCTGTTTATCAGAGAAACTCTCTTCATTAATCCTGAAAACAAGACCGTGTGTTTCACTTGAGTGGGAAGATTTAGTTGTCTATCTGTGGACTAGAAACAGGACAAAGCCTCTGAGTTATAGGGCTGCATGATTATTGAAGATTCGACCCTACACACGATCTCAATCCAGCTGTTCTACAGTTCAGCCAGTTACATTATCCAGTTCAGGAGAGAAGTGTGGTGGCGGCCGCACAAGTCTTCTCAGTGTTTTACATACTGTACTCTGCCCAGCAACATGAACACCTCCAAATGCAGTTTAAAGAGTGCCATGCTGTATTCATAAGCTGTAATTCACCCAGACATGTCAATTGTCTTCATGTATTGATGTACTGGCGGCTGCAAAATCACGCATGTTTGTTTACCTCAGAGAGGATGCGCATGCGCCCGCCACCTCTACTGTAGTGGACAGAACCTGCACAGGCTGTGAATAACAGCTAATAAAGATGTAAATATCGCTCAGTGTGTTGCTGGGAACTATGATTTGCATGTCTGTTTTTTTTCTCAGAGTGACGGCAGACATGACATGGGCACACGCGGCAGTGAACGTGAAACTGGCGTCACATTTCATTACGGCAAGCACTTGATGTGCTTTTTCATTCATATGGAGTGTTGTGCATGACAATAACTGTTCACTGGGTCACTATAACTACTCCAGCCTGTCTCATGCTGACTATAATGCAGGAGGGAGTCTGATAATGACAAAAGTCTGATTTCACCAGTGAATAAATGATCTAATGATGCTGTCGATGACAAGCACAGGTCTCAAACACAATAATTCAACATCAGCGTTATGAACAGTTGTGTTCTGATGTCGTCACTTTACTGTGCATTGATGACCAGGAGACGTTTAAAGGCTGATCAAGTCCACCATCACAAGTCTATAGACAACTGAGCATGTTACCCAGCAGTAGAGCTACACACAGGCCTGATATCACTAGTGTTGTTTTACCATGTGTTTGAGCAGAACCAATAATAACAGCCTCCTCATATTAACCTATATTTTACATCTACAGACTCCTGAGAAATTCCTGATCTTGATTTTAAGCAAATACAAATCGTGATCCTCATTTTAGCCAGAATTCTGCAGCACTACTCAGTAAAGCATTAGTAGCGGTGTGAGTCCAGTAATGTGTGTGTACATGAGAGCTAGAAATGCTGAACAGCAGCCAGTGGCGGAGTACAGTGTGTAGAACAGGTTTGTGGAAGCAGAGTTAATCTACAGCAGGAACTGATTTTAAAGATCCGCTAAAACACGAGAATACCCTTACACACACACACTCACACACACACACACTCACTCACACACTCACATACAGTCAGTCATCTTACCTGCCTCTGCTACAGCGGAGCGCCATCAGTACAGTACAGCTGAAGAGAGTGTGTGTGTGTGTGTGTGTGAGACGCTCAGACCAGTGTGTGATAATCAGTTCTTCACACTGCTCTCAGATCAGCTGATGTGAGAAACAGAAGCGGCAGAGTCTCCATCAGAGTGTGCTTCAAACTAACAGTACTGAAACTCATCTATCAACATCCAGGATATCAGTTACTCAGATGTATAGCTTAGCTTTTCTGTCAAATCTGGGCTAAACAGGGTTTGCACGATGCATATTTTATCTAATGTAATATAGTTTATTTTTTTACAATTAAGCACACAGCGTGCAATATTATCTGATACCCATAAGAAATAATCCCAAAAGCAGTAGACTGTGTAAAGCCACATAAGCCTCAAGCATAAATATATGCCAAAATTCAGCAGCAGAGGCCTGTCAGTCAAGAGGCCACACCCTAAACTATGCAGAATTTTAAAGCTTAATATAAATTATGCAGAAGAGTTATGAAGAAATTCCCCTCCTCACAGCTGTCATGAAGGATTGTCTCAGCTATACACACCAAATCTGCTGCTCGTTCCAGACTATAAACACCTTTATTCTGCTGTAAAGTTGGTCAATTTAACATGCGAGTCTATGAGGATTTGCTCCACCTTGTAGCCGACCCCCAGTGGCCAGTCCATGAACTGCAGTGTCTGTCATTCTGCATTAGCATCATGCGGGAGAGCAGGGAGGGCAGGGGGGGGGTAATGACTGGTGTTTATCCACAGAGCTGAGATTCAGGAACACAAAACAAGGCGACGGTGGAGGAGAGAAACTCCCTGACGCTAATAAGGAAAGCTGATGAGGAAGCAGGAGTGAGAGGGGAACGCCAGAGCCCTGACCACAGAACATCACGTCACTGAACACACACACACACACACTACAGCATGTGTGTGTTTAACCCTTGTGTGCTGTTTCCAGTATCGTGCAGGTCTGACACTTGAATTATCCTTAATAATATCACAATACCCAGGTAGCAAAGAGTTCTGGCCCAGATTTGACATGAAGCTGGCCCGGCAGGATTTCGTCCGGCATTGGCATACAGCATGTGGGCCAGGTTTGGCAGAGGTGACACCATCTTTGAAGCGGCACACAATACTTGGCCCAGATGTAACATGTAGTATATGGCCCAGAGGTTATACTTGATATGTGGGCCTGTAAGTTTGGCCCGTCTTGACCCACTTTTAAATTTATTATTTTCAAATAACGAAAAAAAAATCTACCAATCAGGTCACTTCCAGAAAAATCCCGCCCATAGCAGGCCTAAAGCGCAATGATTCATGAGTTTATTAATTTCATTGCGGCATATCTGGCCCAGTTCAGGCTCAGTTCTGGGTTAACTTGGCTGAGACTTGGCCCAGATATGGTTCATGTTTAGCCCTTGTCTGGAAGCCAGACTTGGTCCAGTCATGTACCGTAATTCACTGCGGCATGTGGGCCAGGCAGAAGCTGATTGTGTGGGCCAGAGAAATTTTGCTATGCGGGTCATTATATCGCAATATAAGTCCATATTCAGCACTGGTCATCTGCTGGTGTTGGCGCTCAGGCTGGTGATGCTATCTTCAGTAAACACACTGCACTCTGCTCTGCATCAGCTCTGGGTATGTTCTCACAGGAATGCAGTGTTTGGGTCCCGCTGAGGGTTCGGGAACAGTGCTGTGCGTCTCTGCTATTTTCCCATGGAATTAAAGCCCTATTTACGTCTTCCAGGAAAGCCGAGCTCCGTCCTCCAGGGACCCCAGCAGCACTGGATACAGCAGAGCTGGAGTCTCAGACTTCTGGATGGAGAAGCTGAGGAGACATGCGCTGTACTGCTTCACACACGGAGCTCATCTCTACATAACAGGCCAGTTTCACAGATTTTCAAGCAGAACAGAGGCTATATACACGTGTGTTCTGGTCTTTAGATCCACCTCTCTAGATTAGAGCAGAGGAACACAGTGTGTTTGTTAATAAATGATGAACGCACTGAAAGTGCTGGAGATGAATGGTGTTGTTAATGGAGAGCTGCAGTCTGCAAACAAACTGATTAGACTGGGAAAATAATCAGCTAATCACCAGTTTGATAATAAAAGTAAGAGTAAAGTCTACATCAGCCTCTCTCCACAGCACAGATGCAGAGATGCCAAAGCCAAAGGGATGAGCTTTACTCAGATCCAGAGCTTCTGGTTTTCCTGTCCGCCGAACACCACATCCCTGATCCAGCCCTCAAAACCAAACACACACCCGTGTCTCAGTCAGGACTGTTGATGATTGTGGAAATGAACTCTGCATCCGCACATGCTCACATGATTTCAGCACATAATGGAGCTTTTGTTGAGTCTGAGAAACTCTGATCCCCAAGCCGACAGTGCTGGACTAAACACTCCACAGGCCTGAACGCCACAGCAGCTCTAACACTCACTAAACCAACATGGACTTCAACCCAGGAGCCAACCCTGCTGGGTCAACAAATCTACCGATGATCCTAGTTAAAGCACATAGAGAGAGATTCAGTCAGATGCTGTAGCATCAGTGTTGAGCAGGACACTCAATTACAATAATCATTAAAGTAGTGTTCGGATAATTCCAGCGGTGTAGTTGCACATGCTGCAAGCACTATACACTAATTACAGTCAATTATGCATAATTACATGCAACTAACACTAAACCTGACACACACACACACACACACACACACACACACAGAGTATTCATTCATTCATTAATTCATTTTCTTTTCGGCTTAGTCCCTTTGTTTATCAGGGTTCGCCACAGCGGAATGAACCGACAACTATTACAGCAACCCATCACTGGGAAACACCCATACACACTCATTCGCACTCATACACT